TAGTAAACTAATACACCAATATACTAGTGTACTCGTGCACCAGTTGTACTAACATATCAAATATACAAGTATACAAGTATACAAATATGTTACTGTTCGAATGCATTAATAATATATTGATATACTAGTCTGCTACTATACGAAACTATCAATATACTAACATATCAAAGCTAGTTCTAGTATTGATACTAATACTAGCACTTCTGCGAATATAAGCTGCGATTAAACCCAACATTAAGACTGACACTGATACTAGAAGTGGTGCTGTATTACTGACATTGACACTGGCACTAGTGCTAACTCTAACACGAGCATGAGCACTGACACTAATTTATATTTACTAATACTGACATATATACTATCACAGCAAACACTAGCACTAATATTATTAAGAATTGGTGTATGGGTATATGTTTATGCCAAAACATTAGTACATGAATGCACTAATGTATATACCTGTATCTTAAGATAGTGGTATGTATATTTATGTACATTAGTATATGCAGGTGTCTATTAGTAAAGAGATTAGCATTCATATCAATACGAATATACTATTGGTATTCGTAGGAGTATTAATGTTGATATTAGAATTATGACTATTCATAGTCGTATTAGCCATAATTTAAGTGTTCTTGCTGGTAATAGTACTGGCATTCATGAATATTCAACAGATTATCAACATCCGTATCAGTGTTGGTGATAGCATTATTGTTAACACCACAGTTTGAGTATTGGCATAGGCACCAAAACATGGCGACACTGACAGGCAACATGTTGAAGTTTTTGCACAACAACCGGTGATGCCTCCTGAAACATGGAGTGCCAGGTTTTGGATGGAAGAGCGGAGCCCGAAAGTGAAATCAGAATCCGTTTCGGGTTTCGTGGGGATATAACATGTGAGAACAAATTACAACATGTAGAGCTAAGTAGATGCTAGGTGCAGAAAATACCGCAAATACCGATGATTTTGTATGTAGGTGAAGTCATGTAGAAATCGAAGCATGAGCAGCAGGAGGTAGAAAAAACCATGGTATGGATCATGGGGGGGGCGTGACCTATTAATACTATTAATACTATTAATACTATTAATACTATTAATACTATTAATACTATTAATACTATTAATACTATTAATACTAGTAATACTATTAATACCATTAATACTATTAATACTATTAATACTATTAATACTATTAATACTATTACTACTATTAATACTATTACTACTATTACTACTATTACTACTAGTACTACTACTACTACTACTATTACTACTACTAGTAATACTATTACTACTACTATTAATATTATTAATACTATTAATACTATGAATACTATTAATACTATTAACACTATTAATACTCTTAATACTATTACTACTAATAATACTATTAATACTATTAATACTATTGATACTATTAATACTATGAATACTATTAATACTATTAATACTATTAATACTATTAATACTATTAATACTATTAATACTTTTAATACTTTTTTTTACTATTAATACTTTTTTTGAAGATACTGTTGATACTATTGATACTATAGATCTATTTATGCTATTAATACTATTAATGCCATAAATACTATTGATACTGATACCAAGACTGTTGATACTAGGTTACTAGAACAAATACGACTTAGGAATTCGACCACGGGGTTCGAACACTGGTGATTTCAACTCGGGTTCAAACATCAGTGTTCGAACTCGAGGTTCGGTGGGACGAAGCAAAGCTTGAAAAAAAGAGTCCAAGAAAAAGAAGACTTCGCACTTGCACGGCTTCCAAGAGAAGCTTTCGGAAGCACTTGGCCGTTTTATCGTGCCCTCATCGGGCACTTGTGAGATTGGACTTGTCTTTCTGCCTGATGACTGGTAACCTGGTGTGGCAGCGAGTCCATCGAGAAACGACAAGGACAACATGAAAGTGCCAAAGCCTTCAAGTCCCCCTTCGCCCTTCGACTCTTCGTTCCCCCTCTTCTCCCCTTACCTCCCCTTAAGAAGGCTAAACAGGCATCCATGACAGTGCATAAGGGCTGGTTGAATTTGTTTTGTGTTCTTCTTGTCCTCGCCTACAATGTTTGCGGCCACCGAATTTGGAATTGAGAATTCCGCAGCCGGCCAATGCCGAGACCAGCGCACGGATGGTTGCAACCTAGAAAGACTCTGAGAAAGAGCCGAAGGAGCATTAAGCTCTGCTGTGCTGAGCAGACACAAACTGACGAAACAGGCTGTGCAATTAGGTTCGAGCTGAAATTCTGAGACTGATCTCAACTTCGCACGCCGGACAAGGAGAGAGGTAGCGAAAGAAGAGTCCGTCTGGTTTGGGAAGCAGTTAGCGCAGCGCAGGCGCGCTTGCACGGCCCGTGAAAATGGCCACTGCTGCCTACCCTCACCTGGTGCGGAGATTCGAACTTATTCTCATCTTCGGGCGGGTTCGAGTTGGAACCCAGATTAAACTGTGTTCCAAACTGTTTCTTTCTTTCAGAGCAGGTTCGGAAATCTGGATCGAACTTGGGTTCCGGAACCTGGGTTTCGAAACCCAATTTCAAACAATTTTGAAGACGGAGTTGTTCGAACCCAGGTTTGAATCTGGGTTGAACGTTAGACTCTTAACCAATTTCGTGTGAGCACAGCACACACTGGGGTTTAGTGCCATCTTCTCCGCTGAAGGTTCGCAAGCTCAACACGCTTTTCAGCACCGCAGAACCCTCGGAACTTCTTTGCCTTGCAGCAACCTGGGCGCACCTGGACCACGTGCAGTTTGAAGTTGAGCACCTCGCAGGTGAGAAGCCACCCTTCAATCGTGATTGACAGGATTTTATTTGCAAAATTTTGTTTGAAAGAAAAACGGAAGTTTTTCGTTTTTGTTTTTCTTGTTCTTTTGCAACTCGTGTTTTGAACCACATTTTCTTACAAGCTTGTTGAGACAAACATCATTTCAACATGTTATAATGAAATGCAACTTGCAGCTTTCCGAATCAAGTCGGAAAAATTTTTGTGAGCCTTAAGATCCTCGTTGCCAGAGTCCTCCAACGGAATAGTGGCTTGAGGGCTTGCTCTCGCTGTAAGAGAAATGAGCACTGGTAGGTGCTGACCCGGTGCTTCTAGTGAGTGGGATGGGGCGCTGCATGGAATACGAGGCTCTCATATGGGCGCAAGGCGAATCTGACCTCTTGGGTGTCGTGGCGCAGGCCTTGGCAGGGAAAGCTCGTTTTTTCTGCACGATTCATCTGCTGGGCGACAAGCATCATATGAAAGCTTTCTCGATAGCCTCGATTTTCTTGTGAGCTTCCTCAAACCACTTGCTGCGAAGCCAGGAACATTGCCATTTGTGAGGATTTGGAGACTGTGAATTTCCTCGAACATGTTCTGGGAATTGAGATTGAGCAAGGAATCGGCGACAACCCTTGGTCAAGAGAGCGCTGCGAGGTGCCAACATTCGCACCTGTGACCCGAAACGACGAGAGTCTTGAAGGTCGAGGAGGTGCTTCTCCTCGAGGAGCGCTGATAAGCGGCGCCCTTGACAAGGTGGACAGGTACGCCGCTGGTTGTTCCAGCTTTACTCCAGGGCTCGAGTGTCGGATTTGAGGAACATTTCGAAGCTTGAGCTTGACCTTGAAGGCGATGCCGGTTTCATCGAAGTCAGAACCTATGAGCACAAGAATTGCCGGCTGAGCAGTGGGCCGGAGGCCGCGCTCATTTTGGTTGCGCCGTATCATGGGCTTCACCAGAAGCCTTGGAGTGCCGCTTGGGTAGAGGCAGCAAGGCCGTTGGCTTCGACTTCGAGAAAGGGCATCGCGGGCCGTTGCCCCCCGTCTGGCTTGCGATTACTCTTGGAGCGGGGACGCCATCGATGCTAACGAGACCACTACATGGATCAAGGGCGTTGCTTTCTCGGCTGCAAGCGGCCGAGGAAGATCCAACATTCTCCTTGCATGGATTGAAGGCAACGCCGCTTTCCTGGACCTCGAAAGCTGGATACGGTGAGAGGACACAACTTGTCCTGGGACACCATAGCTTAGGTCCAAGTGGGAAAATGCAAGAAGCTTACGCTCGCGAAGTGCAGGCGCAGCCGCTAGAGACCTTGCAGAATGTCTTGGTGCCATCCGGCAGGGGGTGTTCCACCCGGATCGCACAAAGAGCGGGATGATTGCAGATGGTGCGACCATCCGTGAGTCGCGCTTCTCTTTGGCACCTGTGGGTCGGGCCAATCCTTCGCCATCTCACGAGAACTTCGAGTGTGCTCCCGAGGTTGAGCTGGCCGAGGATGGAGGCTTAGGGCCTCTTGATGATCAGGACTTGGGTGAACAAGAAGACGTTCACGAAGCCTCGAGCAGCGAGTCCGAGAGTTCTGGTGAGTCCGAGGAAGAGACTCACTATGAAAGTTTTGGAGCAGGTGAGGCGCAGAATGCGATCCCGTCTGTGAACATGGGTCCTGATTTAGACATTTTTCAGAACCCGAAGACCAAGAGCCTTCACTCACGAGCGAAGGGTTCCACTGGCAAGCTGATCTGTGGAAGGTCGCTTGACAATATGAAGCCTTTCAGTGGGAAGGTCTTCAGCAGTAGATGGTTGTGCAAGCAATGCACAGCAGGCCGACCCCTCCGCGACGCAGGGGCCATGGCGAGTTTCATCGCTAAGAAGCAGGGCGCTTCTAAGTGAGAAATGTCGTGTGACGTGCGATGCTTGCGGATCACCACTTCAGTGTTTCGCGGAGCTTCACAGTCATGTCTGATGGTCGAGTGGTCAATTGCGCACCGATCCAGAGCGTGGTTCGGAGACTCGTTCGGGCGAACAAGGGTTTCAGTGGAACCCTTGGTTTACCTCGTGGCTGCCACGGGGTCCGGACGGGCGGACCAAGCTCGGCGATGCGATGATGACTAGCAGTGCGTTGTCCACATGCAAAGCTTGCAATCGCTGTGTGCATGATTGATCCTTTTGCATGTGCATGTCTCAAGACCAGTTTCTGTGAGGGCGCATAGGATCGGAGACCATGGCGCAAACCCTTGTAGAGTCTAAGGCTGTCTTCCTGGAGCGAGCCAGACGTGTGGGCCTCCCACAGGATGCAGTGGATCGCCTTGTTGCACAGACCATCGACACGATGGCGAAACTAGCGTTCGCCCCTTGCCAGCCTGGGGAGACGCCGACCGAGGAGTCGCTGGCGGCCCTCATCAAGGTGGGTAGCCCCGCCGTTGGGATCCATCGCAGCGGTTCGACACCTGGTGTTCGAAGCACAGACCCGTTACATTCTTTGAACACTTGCAGAAGATATGGCCCATGGCTTTATCGTTCGAAGAAAAACAACATGACAAAATGGCTCAGAGAACTGAGTCCAATTTTGATTTGTTGTTTTAGGGCTTTTCTTTCACACTGCCTTTTTATGAACCCTCATTCATACATGCTGTAAACAAGTTGAAGAACACATTCGTCCGTTGCAGCTTGACCTCTCGAAGGGGCAGGAAGCCCTGAAGCGGGCGAGAGTTTTATTTGAAATACCCACCCTCTCCACCCTATTTGATTCGTGGAAAGTGCAGAGATTGCATCAGTGTTCTGCTACCTCAGGAAGCTTTGGACCTCAGTTTGAGGACACTCAGGTATGCTTTATGCATAAGACCTGGTTCGGGTCTTGGCTCTCTGCTTCGCAGTTGACTCGGTCTTGCTCGTCTTCGACTGGCAGGCCGTTCACTAAGGTTCAGTTTGTGAGCCGTACACGGCTTGAGAGTGGCTAGTTCTCCTTTCGGGGACAAAAAGAGTCTTGTGTCTCACAGGACCGACAGTTCGAAGTTTTCTGCCGTGTGCGGTACTTGCTACCCCAACGTGTGAAAATAGCGTCGAGCTTTGAACTACTTGCATGTGGCATGTGCGAGTGCAAACATTCATCCCTGAAGGTTCGAACATGTTAGACATCAAAACACAAAGCACGATCTTCGAACGATAATCTTGGTCAGCCAGACCAAGGCACTCGTGGAGAACAAGGAGAACGAGGTCAAGGAGTTAGCTCCCGCAGAGCGCCGTGAGAGCATCCGAGCACAGGCCCGCAAACTTACAGGCATCACCATGTCCGGCCAGACTGAGTGCAGCTACGCCTCGTATGACCTCTGCATGAAGCTCCTTACTGACAATTGCATCAGCTATCTTTCCCCGGCCAAGTTCATCACTCGCGAAGCTGAGCTGCGTTCCGAGAAACCGAGGAAGGAGTTGGATGTGCAAGCTTCAACACTGGTCGTGAGGGATCGTGACCCCGATCAGTCATGCGATACTTCCACTGCACTGAGCCTTCACCATGCCATGCACCGTCGAAGCCTTGCTCTTGACTTGATCGGTGTAACTGATTACTTTCGGGTTCAGGGCTTCGTGGATTTCCTCTTGGGCCACCTTCATCAGGAGCCCATTGCTGGTAGCCGTGCCACTTCTGTGCAACAAATTCTGCATGCGGACCGTGCTGCCTGGATGCGCCTGGCAGAGCTCACCCCCGACGGGATTCGTCGTGATGCAGCCGGGGCTTTGCCTCTTGACAGTTTGTGGGCCCGCTTGCAGACTGACCCGAAGGTAATTTTTCATCTCCTCCCGCGAGAAGGTGGGGCCCTCAAACGAGAAAACAACGAGATCAAGCCTGAGCTCACAGACACCCCGACCAAAAAGCAGCGCAAAGGTACTGGAAAAGGCAAGACCAAGACATTGCGTGAGCCCAGCAATCTCCCAGAAGAATTCAAGGGCCTTTCGTCTTGGACCAAGACCGGAAAGCGCCGCTGCTGGGGATTCAATATGGCTAGTGGGTGCGCGAATGCCAAGGTCGGCCAATCCTGCCCCAGGGGCCTGCACAACTGCATGCGTTGTGGCGGTCACCACCCTGCGCATGCGTGTCCAAAGAAGCCATGAAGTGCATGCCTGCCTGAGCCCGACAGCGTGCCACCACCGTGTTTTCCATCGCCCAGTGTTTCATTGGATGCCTCACTGAGCGCCTCAACCCCGCAAGCATCAGCCGCTGCACCCAGCAAATCACATTGTTTTCCTTCGAGTCCTGCTGAGGCTGTGAGCCCTGTGGAGGGGCCGCTACTACTTGATGCCGGACACTCTCTTTGCGGCGCTGATGCTTTCAGGATTGATTCCCTCTTTTGCATTGAAATTTTCTCAGGCTCAGGCAGGCTTACTGCTGAACTTCGGCGTGCGGGGTTCCGAGATAGCATCGGAATCGACCATGTTGCCCCAAAGCAAATGATTTCTCCCGTCCTTAAGCTGGACCTCCTTGATCCCGAACATGTAAAGATGGTTCTTGATCTGATCGTTTCTCCCTTTTGCCTTTATGTCCACATCGCCCCCCCTTGTGGAACAGTGAGTCGTGCTCGTGAAATTTTCCGTCGCGGTGAGAGCCTACCTGCTCCAGCAAGAAGTGACGCCCACCCGGATGGGCTGCCCGACCTCACTGGCGAGCTCCGCGTTCGTGTTGCTAAGGCCAACGATCTTTATGCAGTCACTGGCAAGATCTTTGCGCACTGCATTCGTACTGGGAAGCTCGTTTCTTGTGAGAATCCAGGCCGCTCTTACTTCTGGCAAACGACCATGTGGCTCACTGCCGTTGCCGACCTGCAGTTTGAGGAAACCCTTTTTCATAACTGCCAACCCCTTTTTCATAACTGCCAACACGGCGGCGAGCGTGCCAAGCTCACCCGCCTAGCCCATAATGTTCCTTTGCTACACGAGCTGTCCCTTCTCTGCCCGGGGGAATCAACATCTCATCGCCACCTGCCCTGGTCGCGATCCTCAGGTGCCTTCGACACAGCGGCCGAGAAGGTCTACCCTCGTGTGCTCTGCCAACGTATGGCCGACATCATTGTCCGTGCTGCCGCCGAACGCGGCCACACTGCACCTGCTTCATGCCTTGCGCCTGGTGCTGCCCTTCCCCTGCGTGAGTCTCAGGTTGCAGCTGGCGTGCAACCTCGCGGCAAGCGTGTGCCACCCCTTGTGCCCGAGTTTCGGCAGATTGTGGTTCTTCTAAGTCCCGAACCCCTCTTTCCCGGCGTGCGTAAGCTGGAAGACGATACCCCCCTTCCACCTAGTGTTTCATGCTCGCCCCCACTGCCGACGCTTCCCGCGGGCACTCGGATCCTGCGCCAGAGTGTCATTGGGGTTGTGCCGGTTGTGCCAGCTGGAGCGCAGAGATCGTGCTCGAGTAACTCAGCCGCCTTGTCCACACCTGTGCCGAATCCCACAGTTGTCCCGAATGCCGAGGCGGAGGACGATGGAAACTTAGCCACCATGGAGGACGACCAGATGGATCCCGAAGCTTTCTCGCATTATGCTCTCCACTTGGGAGTGTCAGCCAGCGACGAAGCATGGCGTGACTGCATGTGCCACTTGTGTGATTTACTCAGTCTCGGATCCACCGTCTAGGGGCGGACGAGGCACTGACGAATTCTCTTGGTCGTGCGGAGCTTTCTTTCATGCCAACAAGGTGGGCCTGCGTTCCAATACATCGTCGCACCCCAGTGTGAGCAAACTCTTGTGCGAGTATGCGCGCCGGGTTGCCCCGGGCCACCCTTTCACCTCCTTGATGCTGGGCAAGAACCTCGCAGGCAAGGTGCATGCCGATAGAAACAATGAGCCAGGACTGCCGAATGCAGTTTTGAAGATCTCCTCCTTCGAGCAAGGGGGAGTGTGGATCGAATCACCTCGCGGCTCCGTCGCTTGTCCTGATCCTGGCCACCCCGAGCTTTTGGGAAATGTTCTTGACTTTGAGGGCCGAAGGATAATTTTTGATCCGAGTGGTAGACATTGTCAAGCTCCATGGTGTGGGGGCCCAAGGATCACGCTTGTTGCCTATACGATACGTGATCACCACAAACTTCTTGACGATCAGAAGACACAGCTTGTTGACCTTGGTTTCAACCTCCCTGGATGCTCCCCAGAGTGCTGCCCAACAGCCGGTCCCGTGGCAGCCACCCCTAAGTCTGGTTTAGGTCCCAGCTCCTCGACTAGGCCACTACCTGGGATTCCGTCCCGCAGCATGCCAGAAGGTGACCGAATGCACAAGGTGGCCGTGGGCATCCCTTGGAAACCTCAGGAGTTCATCGAGCAAGCACTGAAAGCTGGGCACCCCCGTCACCTCTTGGACGGTGTGCCATCGCATTCCAAGGCGGCCATCGACCGCCTTGCTGACATGTCGCTCCACGAGATAGGAGCCCAACGCACCGAGAGGCTCCGGCATTGGATCGGCAAGGCCCGTGAGTTGGAAGCCGAAGAAGAGGAGCTGCGTGACTCGATGCCGCAACATTGCAAACGTGTCCTGGGTCGGAAGCGGCTGGTCCTTTTTAGGACCATGCTCGAGGAGTGTGGCCACGAAGACCTAGAGATAGCGAATGACATCGCCAAGGGTTTTGACCTCAGTGGTGCGATCCCGAGGAATCCAGCATATCGCCCCAAGTTGTCACCCGCTTCGTTATCTGTCTCAGACCTCCGGAGCTCCGCGGCTGTGATGAGAGAAGCAACTCTCCTCGCCACCAAAAGTTCCGGGGACGCAGAACTTGATGAGGCCCTCATGGCGGCCACTGACAAGGAGGTCGCCAAGGGGTGGTTGCGAGGACCTATCGATCCTGCGTCGCTGGGTCCCAATGCTGTTCTCTCGCGCCGCTTCGGCGTTTGGCAGGGCGGCAAGTGTAGGCCTATAGATGACTTCAAGGCCTCTGGGGTTAACTCGACGACTTCAGCCGAAGACTCGGTGACTGTGCACACGGCGGATGCAATCGCCGCCTCCATTGCTTACCGTCTTAAGCGCGACGACACGGCGGGCTTGAGATGAAATCTTATGACCTACATAAGGCATATAAGAATCTTCCCTTGAGCACTTCAGCGGTGGAAGAAGCTTATCTCTCAGTGTACAACCCCCGGTCAGGGAAGGCAGAGATCTACGAGCAGTGCGTGTTGCCCTTCGGCGCTCGTGCGTCGGTCCACTCGTTCTGCAGAACTTCGCTTGGCATCTGGACGATTGGGGCGATTCAGCTGGCTTTGATGTGGTCAGTATATTACGACGACTTTGTCGGCAATGAAGTCCCGCCACTTACACGGCTCTTTGACCTTTGCGCTGAATCGCTCTTTCAGATCCTTAGCTGGGACACGTCTCCAGACAAGCCTACCATCTTCGGAAGCGTGGCAAAAGTCTTAGGCCTGGAGTTCGACTTGCGTGAATCCTACCTCGGCAACTTCTACATGAGAAACACGACGGCTCGGCGCGAGGAGCTGAGGGAGAGTCTTTCTTCTGTCATCGAAAAAGGGACGCTGGCTAGGAAAGACTGCGAGAAGCTGAGAGGCCGCCTACAATTCGCCGCCAATCAGGTTGCTGGAAAGAAAGCTGGCATCGCATTCAAGACCTTGTCCAAACATCTTACGGAACGAAGCCCCAACATCGGAGACAACTTGAGGGCTGCACTACTGTTCCTGAGGGACAGGTTTCTTGAAGGGCCCCCGAGGACTCTGAGTGCCAACGTCTTGCATCTTTGGCATGTGTATGTGGACGCTTCTTGTGACAACGATCGCATCGGTCTTGGAGGAGTTCTTATCTCAGACAATGGGACGAAAGTTGGACACTTTAGCGAGTGGGCCTCTGATGAGCTACGACTTCTCGTTGGTCCCGAGAGCAAGAACCCCATCTTCGAATGCGAGTGTTTGGCGGTACTCATGTGCATGCACGTTTGGAGAGGACTCCTTAAAGGATGCAACACTGTCGTTTTCTCGGACAACGAAGGCACTCGTGCCTGCATGATCAAAGGAGCCTCCGACAACTCCGTCGGGATGCGTATCGTGGATGCCACTCATGATGCCATCGACGCAGCATGTTGCATACCTTGGTTCGGTTCGAAAGAGTCAATACCGCGTCGAACATTGCAGACGATCCATCGCGAGGAATCACAGATGAAAGCCTTGGTCGGCGATTCGAAGTGGATGCGCTGAGCATCGCAAAGTCTGCATTGGTTCCGTGGGGATGAGTCAATTGCTGACTATCCGATGTGTGCATTGCGAATGCACTGTGCATGATGTACTGCTGTACATCTTGCAGAGCATCGTGGATGCTCGGAGGAGGGACCATCTCACTTCGTCTCGACTTCTCGGAATTCCCCGAGCGACGGCTTTCGCCAGACTTTTAAAAAGAGTGTGTGCCGCGCATCTTAATGAGCTTTCTATCTTCATTGGCAACACATACATTGATTTGTGATTCCGAATCTTATTTGAGTCGAATATATTTCGCTTCGGAAATATATTGTGTTATGGTGGGAACATACTGAAACAGAATTTGGAAATAAAAACGTTTGGGCCGACAAGCTCAGTCGAGGCTCCACTTCTTTCCTTCAGCATCGCACTGCTGACAAAGCTTCGGTGACGCTAGCGCAACTAGCCTCCGCATCGCATTGTGTTACTCTGCACGGTCACTCGCTCCAGTGGCCGCAACAGCTCCTTGATGCTCAGCACGCCATGCTCAAATGATTAAAAAAGAGCGACGCTTCTCTCTCTTTCTCTCGTGGTGCGCCTCACTGCTTAGCTTTGCAAGCCCCGCTTCGCCAGGTACATCCGCCATCTTGCGCGGTGAGGGGGAAACAGAGCAGAGATTGAAGGATGCACCTAAAGTGGGGGATAGCTCGGGATCGCATGCCTCTTTCTCCTACGGCGAGCAATGCCTCGCACTGCAGCGCATCCTTAGCAATCTCTGCGGTAAAAAAGGTGGATTGCATCAGAACGCTCTGCACTGCAATCTTTGGCTTCATTCGAGTTAGATTAGAGAACGCTAGTTGTGAGTTTTTTGTTTTGAGTCAACTGTGTTTTCTAACTTGTGTCGAATGTAACCTTGCTTCGCACTGCGTTTCGGCACAAGCTTTCACAGCTAGCGTTCTGCTCGCATTGCATCGCATGCAATAAATCTTTTTCACCCACCCTCCACGCCCTGGGGGATAGCTCGGCATCGCATGCCTCTTTCTCCTACGGCGAGCAATGCCTCGCACTGCAGCGCATCCTTAGCAATCTCTGCGGTAAAAAGGTGGATTGCATCAGAACGCTCTGCACTGCAATCTTTGGCTTCATTCGAGTTAGATTAGAGAACGGTCAAAAGCCATCATAAGTTTGTTTGAAATTTCAATAATCAAATTATTTGATTTGTTTGCATTCCTGTTCACTTGAAAGATTGCTTTAAAGTTTGTGTTGTGCTCAGCTTTAGTTCATGTTTGCGCAGTTACTCAAGAATTGAATCTCAAGTCGAGTCACAGTTTTCTTGAAGATTTCTCGCAAATTTCTTGTAGCATGCTTTCCAAAGCCAAAAGTGTCGTTTAGTCGAATTACTCCGAATATCCGGCTACGCCCTTGCATTTGACGATGACTGGTTTGACTGGGACATGTTCAGCCACCTTCCATCTTCGCAGAGCACGTAATCGAAACGATGGTTTGTCATACACAGTTTGAGGAAGAGCAGAATGTTGATTTAGTGCTCGAAACGGACACAGTTATTACCAGCAACGCTGGACTTCCTTCTCTCTTTTCTGGCACAGTCGTTTGGATGGAGATCACGTTGTACCTGGGCAACGACGCACAGTGGATGCAGTGCGCACTCTTAGACACCAGACACGAATGCTGGCGGAGCTCGATTGCAGATGCCAAGTAGTGGTACGGGTCATAGCTGTCTCAGGTTTGAGAGCGCCCATTGATGCGGAACATGTTCACAACACTGGTATCGCTTTCTACAACCAACGAGGTTCGCTGACACCGTTGTGTTTTTTGTTTTATTTGCAGTGTTCGTGGTCTTCGTGGTGCAAGATTTGTAGTGTTAACATTTGTGAGCAGTCTGTGCAGTATTAGCAGTTTGAGTGTTGATGGTTAGTGGTGTCTGTGTTTCTGCAGTGGAACACACTGGTGTTTGAACCTTGGGTTCAAACACCGGGTTTTGAACCTTGGGTTCAAATGCCGGCGTTCCAACTGGAGTCCAACCTGGGTTCCAAATGTTTGAACCTGGGTCAAGTGCTTTTGCAGAAGCTTTTCGTTGGAAAGCGATACAATTAATGAGGATTCGCAGTGACTAGATCGTTTTATGAGCCACCGCCCCACAAGGCAAGCTACGAGTAGGATCAGTGAGTCTGATGGTCTTCTTGCTTTCATAAGAGCAAAGCGATACCTCACAGAAATCCTTGTAAAGCGATAGGACCCCCCAAATCATCCATATGGTCTAGCCATGAACAAGAAGATTTGACAAACGCTGATGAAATTTCCGCAAAAAATTGAATGAACGGAATGATTCAACTTGCTCTGCTCGAAAGGGAGAAAGTGTTTCGTGCTTTTCTTGGCCGCTGGGCCGTCAGACAAGCTAAAGCTTTTTGAAAGTCTTGTAAGCCCTGGAAGAATTCGTTCCGTTTCATGTTTTGCTTCTCCGTAGCTTGTATTTGTTGCACACTGGAAAGTCGTGCTCACCGCCTTCGGTGTTTTGCTGGGTTTTCGTGAAACATGCCATGTAAATTACACTGGAACATTCCAAAATCTGAACATTTCGCCGCACAAAGCAGACAGCTAACTAAGATTTATCGTGAAGAATTTTCTGTGCATCTTGCGAAGATTTTTCACAACAGGTCGACTTCGGTTAAGAACGCTCAATATGACAATTATGCTGTTCAGGTCAGCATTGCTCTTGCTTGCCAGCATGCATGGTTTTTGGCCATGAGTATGTGCAATGCACGATGAAACCAGCATAATTTATGGTAAGGTTTTGTTTGACAACCAACTCAGTTGTGAGAATGCTGTTGCATTCGATGCGTGCATGGGTCCTGGTGGTCCCAGCAGTTGGAGCCATCGTCAAGGCCGTCTGCGTGTACATGCATGTTGAAAGTGGGCAAGCACGGCGAGAACCAAAAACATGATCAGGTGCCTGTGCTGGTGAAGCAGTCTGATTGTGCAGGATCTGGAGGAGAATCTCGGAGGCCCGACTGAAGCAGATCCTCGGACCACATTGGCATGGTTGGGCTTGGGGATTGTCAAGAGAAGTTGCATCATGTTGGGAAGCGCAACTGATTTGTGCCACTCGTGTTGCCTCAGGACTGTTCAGATCCGGTCAATGACATCGTGCGGGAGAATTGCAAGAAGGGGAGCCCAGCCACTGAGTGGGACATCAACGCGGCAGGTTCCAGCTCGAACCTTGGCTGTGTTTTGTGCTGTCGGTCGTTGCGAAGAATCATTGTGGTACATGTCGGCTGTTGCCCCAAGGATCCAGGGTTTTGCCACGCAGAGCAGCTATGTGATTGGTGAGCAGGTGTTGTTCAAGGTGAAGACAGCATCCAGCACCTCAGTTTCATTGAGAATGAGGACTCCATGGCACACCAGGTTCGCTGTCCACTGAGGAAAGTATCGTTTCGACATATACCGGCTCGGTTGGTATAATGCCTCTGGTGCGCGTCATGTTGCCACTCTGCGGCCATCTGCAGCATTGCCACAAGAGCAGCCGGAGTGCTACAAGGATCATCAGCCTGCATGACGCGCAAGGTTGTTACAACAATCAGGTTTGCGAACTTCTATTGCTGGTGTCAGAATGGCAAGTCTTATCGCAAGTACTGCTGGGTCGAAGTTAGCTCACACTGCGAGAGGATGACCTTACATTGCTTGTGGACTGCGGAAACTGGGCCGTGAGCGCTGCTGCTTGGCACACCTGCACTTTCATGACATGCATCCCGGTGTCTTATTGGGGTCGATAACAGACATAGCAACTTCGGTGGCATGTGATTTTTCTGTCAATGTACGGCTACTGCTGCTAGTGTGATGGTGGTTGTGATGCTTATGATTGTGATGCGGATCCAAGACGATCATGGTGGCGAAGGGGGTGGAATTCACGATGATGGAGATGTTGATGGTGATTGTGATGGTGGTGATGATGTTCATGATAGTAACGATGATGATGACGGTGATGGTGATGATGACGACGACGATGATGATGATGAAGTCGATCTTGGTGTTTATGTGAGGAATCATGAGGACGATGTTGCTGTTGATGGTGATGGAGTGCTCGGGTTTGAGTGCTTGTCGCAGGAGGTGTCTGCAACCTGGCCCCGCGGAAACAAAGACATTCATGCACATCACGATACTGTACCAGCTATTTTTGCCATGTTTGAGAAAGGAAGTTGCCCTGCGTGTCGAACTTGCGAGAGGCAGGGGAAGCCTGACAACAAAAACGTCCAATCCCAGCAACTATTGGCAGTTAACATCGGTATGACGATCCCATCCTGCAAAAAATAGGACTATCAAGAGGTTCGTGGCTTCAACCAGCTTTGTGACTGTTGTCGCAGACAGACCTGGGAGGGGGGGCCAGGGGGAGGATGCCATGGCGCGGAGGGGGGGGATAGTGGCCCGGGACTCGGGATATGCCGTTGGTTCCCTCTTGTGTGTAGTTGTTGCAGTATATGGGCACGTGCTCTACTATATCTTACATGGCCATATGGTTTCTCATCGTTTGTCATCTTTGTCGATTCTCGGGATAATCCAAGGCTTGGCTCGTCCCAACTGACATCGTGCCGGGCATCTTCTTCGCGCGCTTAGTGATGGAAGATCCGCCGGAATTTTGGCGGACAGATGCAAGTGAGATTATGCCGAGCCCCAAATTTGCCAACAGAGCCTCAGCTTGCAAGTTCGTGCCAGATGCATCTTGCGAACTGGCCGCGATGTGTCTCCGGACGGTCACCCTGGTCTTGGTGCGCTCGTCAGGGACAAGCTGATGCTTTTGAGGTTGTTTCGCTTCCGAACATGCAGAGAAAATGCCAACTAAGGAAACTGGAACTACAGTCGCATGCCTCCTTGCGGTCCTGAGCAATGTCCTGCTCTGGTACATGCGTATGGAGCACAGCGACACCTATCTGGCGATATGATGAGCCGCGGCCACAGCTTTCCATGACTGGTCGGGCGTGCCCTCGTTTATGTCACGGTCAGAGACAAAGTGCCGAATGAGTGTTTCCTGGGAGATTAATAATGCCAGCTGCAGGCAATGCGCTGAAAGAGCCGCATGCATCGCATGTCTACTTCGTCATTCGTCAAGACGTGCGCAGGACGGACGTGTTGCTGCAAACAATTGACACTACATGGCGAGCATACAACAACTATGCTGCTCCTTCCACTTATGGCGTGCTTCCGCTTCCAAGACACAAATTTAACCTCTCCGATGCATGGCAAAGCCGAAGGGCCTATAAGGTCTCTTACAACGCACCATTGCTGACTCGGGACACTCGAGCTGTGAATACACTGTTCAATGCAGAGATGCCTGCGCTACGATGGCTTGAGCGCCATGGTTATGACATTCAATATTGGACTGGAGCAGATGCTCATGCACGTGGAGAAGAGATCCCTCGCCGTGCCCGGGTTTATGTCTCCGTGGGCCACGATGAGTACTGGTCAGGGGAGCAAAGACGGCACGTGGAGGCAGCTCGTGATGCAGGAGTCGTGGCAGCAGTCTTGCACCTGTGTCGAACCGGAGACAGCATTCTGTTGCGAAGTTCAGGAGTCCACTTACATTTCTGGAGTGGCAACGAAGTCTACTGGAAGGTTCGATGGGAGTCGTCACCAGTAAACGGCGAGCCAATGAGAACCATGGTGGTATACAAGGACATGGTGTCGAATGTATGAAGGTAAGCATAGTAAGCAAATTTCGGATGCAGAAGCAGAAAGTGCAGAAATGCCACGTATCGCCAGGAGTCCCAAGAATCTTTCAAGATCGACCCCGAGCCGAAGCTGTGGACCGGAACCTTCCGAGACAGCAAAGGTTTTAACCCAGAGGGTGCCAATCCTGAGAACTCGCTGACGGGAACCATCTTTACCGCAACTTGTCGGCGTCCATCTCATGAACTCTAGCAGCGAGAACCGGCACCAAAGTGCGATGGCAGGTAAATGCATGGCGTCATGATGCTCTCGAGATACCCGGTGCGTATGCGAAACTTCGAGTTTGGCGCCATACCGACGTGACCTTGTTGAAGTTGACCCAGAAGGCAGTGCTGTTGAAAGGGTGACTTGGTTGCTTCCCGTACCTAGTTTCACGGTGTAGAGTCTAGTGCAGAGATGGCTCTGGGTAAGACTTGGTAAGACATGGACCGGACCAGCATTGGCGCACGCTCGATGCCACTTTGAAGAGTAGGTGTCCCTTAGCTCATAGTCTTTCTCCGGCCATCTCGAGGCTTTTGGGTCACGAATGGGATGAAGATTTGGACAACGGTTTTCGGCCCGAAGGGCTCATCCGCCTCAGTGAGACGCATGTGGACAATGTGCAGGACCGCAGGAGGGGAACTCACTTTGGGCCAAGTGGAGTGAGTGGAACGCGGAACTGAACACTCAGCCGCGACCCGAGGCCATCGTGGATCATGGCGCATGCTTCGATTCTGGCAGTGCCACTCACCACTTGACATTGCGACTCGGAATTTTCAGCTCTTACAGGGTCCATTGTAGCTTGCATTGGAGCTCAGGTATAAAGCCAAGAGTGGTGCTTTGGTCTTCGGGGCCGGCACGGTCCAGTGGGCTTGGGGATTGGACAATTTCCACGACTCTGTAACGGGCATGAACAACATGTGGGAGAGTGAGTGCCTTGGCTCCTGTGGGTTGTTCGGCGACATGTTGCAGGGTTTTCGCTTCCCAGAACCTGCAATAATGCCGCGTTTACTATCAAGACTGGTCAACACTATGTGCTGCAAAAAACAGCTCCAGAAAGCAAACGGGCTTGGCAGGACGGGGCTGCGGCAAGTTCTCACAACCTGAATCCGCTTGCATGTCGGAGTCAAGCAGAGACACGGAGGGAGGGAGACGGGACAGATTTTGCTACTCCCGATCCAGAGAAGGAGAGACTCGGCTCAGCAGAGAAGTCCAAGACGTTACGTCTGTACGTTTCAGACGTCCAACTCGTTGCTGAACTTTGGCCGTTCTTCTAGCGCTCTGCGAGCATTCCAGAGAGGCTCAAGTGGCCAGCTGAGATTGAAAGTTGTCAACTAATGGGACTGAGGTACAACACCCGGATAGGGGTGGACCCCTCTGGCCCAGATTCAGTGGTACAGCAAGCCACCTTGTGACCCGGCCGTGCAGAGTTCTCAACGTCCGGAATAGACCAGCGCCGAGTTCTCACGACGTAAGGAATTTGTTTGCCGACATGGGTGTTCAAGCCCCGATCTTGGGAGCAGGCATGGTGCGTCCATCGGCGTTTCTTGTTTGCTTCAGCATACTTCTGGGTCAAGTTCCATGGCTTTCTGGGCACACGTGTGAACACCGCAACACGCGGTACAGAAGTGTTTCTGCACATCCAGGTCCACCGACAACGAAGCACCTGCAATATCCTCTGTTTCGATGATGGCTAGTAGTGGACCACGCAAGCATTTCGCTGCTCGGCTCGTGATGTCTCAATTGGAATGAAAAGGGCGGATTGTGCGAGTTTTGATCAACAGTGGGTTTGAAGGGGCTTTTCATGCGGTCTCAAGCAGGAGACTCTTGCAGCAAGCCTGCGTGAGGTTGTCAGAGCTACTGACTCTGCTGGTGAAGTCGCGGCTGTGGAGTGGTCTTCTGATGGTAGAGCCTCAGACGGAATAGACAGTGCAATCGCTGGTGGTCGTCCAGATGTCGCCAAGGACGCTGGCATCCGATGAAGCGCCAGCTTCGGGAGCCAGATCAGTGGAGCATGGAAACACCGATGCCCGCATACCAACAAGGCACACCGCAAGTAGCTGCAAATCTGAAGGGGTTCGTGGCCCATGTCAGATGCAGTTTGCAACTTTTCTTGCTTGCAGCTGCGAGGCACGTGCTGCGCAGTCCATTGTTATGCTGTAGCTTTCTGCGAGCTTCCGCTTGATAGACGATGCCTCACGAGGAGAACTGGAGCTCTGGTTTCGTGCTGTGGACGATTCGCTGAACATCGGCAAGGAGTACCGGTGGAAAGAAAAGTCAGAGTTATGAACGGAAGCCGTCTAGATGGAGCAGGTGAGGGATCGTTCCGGCAACCGGCTGAACTTCGGAGAGTTTGCGCCGAAAGTGAGCAACCCGAGCCATCATGATGGTGTTGGATCCAATGGCATGGCGCTACTGCATCCCACGTCTAGATTGGGACCCGCGTCACGCTCCGCAACAACAGCAGCTGCCATGCCAACCCATGTGAAGACAAACGCACAGTTGCCTGGTGCACGAGAGGTCTTTCGAGTGCCCGGGCGAAGAAGCCACTTCAAAGCATTTCAGCACTCAGCTCATGGAAAAGAGGTCTTTGTGCGTTGCAGTATGTGTAGAAGACAGAGTCAGTCTGTTCGGTTGGACGTTTTGCTCAAGCACCGGTCCAGATTTAAGAACCTAAACCATGCCGGGCCATCAGTCTTCAGTTCGTAGCGTGTGTTTAAAGGCTTTCGGGTTGTAGTTGTGGGGATTTGGGCTTTGCGGTTTGTAGTAGGGTTCTGACAGGGAAGATGGTTTGGGGGTTCCAGAGAAGATCATTGGAAAGTGGGCGTGAATGACATCCATTTGGTGGACCCTCTCGTTACTCCTAGTTCATCAAGCAGCTGTATAAACACCCCATAGAGCCATATCAAGCCTGGCTGACATAATATAACGCGTTGTATGACGCCCGGGAAAATACCGTAAAGCGCAGAAAGCCTGCAGACAAATCTGTAGGATAGAGGGCATCACCGGGCCCACCCTTCAAGTTCTACATGCTAAATTAGGGTTTAGGGTTTTGGGGACGAGGGATTGCGGGTAACAGTGCGTTGTGGGCTTGGAGCCTTGTAAGCCTGCGTGCGGCAGCTGCTGCTCCATATGCTCCTGGGTTGTTTTTTCATGCGAACGCTGAGCTCCGTTCTGCTAGCTGGTAGTGGGTTGATGTGTGTGTGTGTGTGTGAGTGTGTGTGTGTGTGTGTGTGTGAGTGTGTGTGTGTGTGTGTGTGTGTGTGATTTCGTTTTGTCGACTCAAGCGAAAGCGCCATAATGGGTCAGACTTGTTGGGTTTGCTCCTCCTCTAGCTGCTGCCAGCCAGTTGGATAGTTGTTTCGGAACTGTCTGAACTCCTCTACATGCTTACTCCCTGCGTGCTGAGCCAAGAGCGAGGGGCAGGAGGGCCGTCGGCCGTCGGTTCCAGATATTCAAGTCTGTACATGTATTGTGAGCAAGTTCAATCGGTATGCTGTAAATGGATAGAAGATTCTCGTTGCGCTCTTTGTCTTTGCACATGAGGAATATCTGTAGAGAGCTGTCCCGGATGCCACGGGCTTGCAGCGGAGATTAGCTTGCAGCGTGGCAGCGGCGCGCAGCACGTTGCAGTGCACCGAGTTGGGAAGACTCTTGTGTGGTCGGTCTGTGTGGGTGGCTTTGCATGATTCTGTGGTGTTCTTCGAGGCCCGCGCCAGGGCCGAGCATGCACCGAGGCTGTCCGGGCCTACTGCGGGGTTCGGACAGGAGCTGTGAAACCGGGGACCTAGGAAAGTTAGCTTCAGGGAAGCAACTTGACAACGTCAGAGCCTGCTGCTAGTCAAGTCTCCACTGCATATTTGTACATATTTGTACGTACTGTCGAGCTGCGTCACTGCATCTAGTCGAAATCTTAAGCACTGGAATTTTCTAGTCCGCATCGCTTTGCAGGCGGAAAGCCAGATTCCATGAAGGGATCCGGTGACGGAGCCCGGCTTTACACGGCTTCGCCACGTCTGTCTCCCCTGGAATGGGCTGCGAGCATTTTTCGTGTGCCGAGGCAGGGGAAGCCTGGGCCCGGGCCTTCCTCACCGTCGCGACCCACGGACAGACCGGGCCGGCGACCTCGGCGAGCCTCCGCGAGCTCCGCGAGCGCGACGCGTCCAAAGCTTTTTTGACTCCCTTGCGTGACTTAGGACCGAGCAATGGCGGTGCCTGCAGGCCTCTCGACCTCTCGGCCTCTCTCTCTCTCGAGATTCTGCTTTTGCTAGCAAGGGCAGGTAGGTCGAAAAGTGGTGCTCATGCGGGGCAGGCGCGGGCAGCCACCGACGAGAGTACCAGCACTACTACGGTGAGAGCACCGTGACTTGTCACATGACGTATCTGCGCTGAAAGTCTCGCTTTCAAGAAGCAGAATCTTAGTCAACAGTCTTTGAATGTAAGCAGAGCACACGCCGCCAAGGACATGGTGAGTGAGGAGTACTGGTCAAGCGACGGAGCTTGGGGTGCAGGACGGGGACGTTTTCCGAGTGTTGCCAATCTAATTGTGCATCTGTTGGCCCGTCGAAGTTTTGTGTTCACGCTTTCTGTTTCGCCCGCAGGTGCTTGGAGAGAGTGGGAGCACGAAGCTGCAGGCTGACTTACCATGATGTTGCATCCCAGTGGTCGTGGGACGGTACGCCGCATTTTGCAAGTCAGAAACTGAAGCTTCTTGCTGTTTCAAGTCATGTGTGCTCGCGAGCATGGAAGTCAAACCTGTCGCACAAAAACAACTTCTTTTGACTACGCAGTCAGCGGATGGCACCAAGGTATGAAGAGAGCAACTGCAAGTTTGACTTGCCTCGTCATGTGTGCGAGGTTTGGAAGAGGGCGGCTGGGCGCCGCCCCCCGCGCCTGCAGTGCGGCCCCAACGCTTTGATCGGGGGTGGTCCTTCGGTTCGACTCCTGACAAGCTGCGTCGATAGCACGCGCACGCCCGCATCCCTTCTATGCTCAGCAGAAGCCCCCGCCTCTGCCCAGTCGAGCTTCGGGGACCTGGAGCGCCGGATCGACACGATGTCCCAGGCCACGCCTAAAGCAAAGCGCCGCGTCAGTCGCATAGTCGCATCCTCCTTTTCGTCAGCAGGAGTTCACGGACAACTTGCGCAGAATTAGCGAGAAGGACGAGACGCAGCCAATTTTTGGGATTTCAGGTTGCTGGGTTTTGAAGCAAGGCTATACTAGGAGGCCAGTGCAGGTGTTCTGTGATGTGGAGGGCGATTCTCAAGTGGTGCAGCGCACACGATGAGCCAGCAGCTGTGTACACGGGAGAGCTGCGCGACTCTTTGACATAAGCATTCTTTTCAAAAGAGGCGTCAGAACAGGATTCCTCGCCAAGGGGCCCTGCTTTTAGACCACGGGTAAGGGGCCCCAACCAGATTGTTTACAATCATCGTCTCCAGGGCTCGTCTGGTTATGCTAAGCTCACAAGCCGCACAAAACACATGAGACCGGTTGAGGCCTGCGTGCAGTTGTGCGCAAGATGTCTTTCTTCCTTGAGGACAACGAGAAGTTCGACCTCATCTTCTCGATTCTGCAGCAGCTGCAGAATCGACAGGCCAAGCGCTCAGGAAAACGCATTCTGCATGCCATGCAGGGCGAGTCCTCCTGTATCATGTCCTCCCTGGCTCTTGTCACCTTTTCACGACTAGCGAAGTTGTACTGGGTTAGAGGTGTGGATGGCACTGACCCAAGCCTTGACCTGGAGCCCGCACCTATGCTGGGCTCCATCTCTGTTGCATGCAGGCCCAGTTGGAAGAGACGGTGCGTGTCCTGCAAACGCAGGCTTGCCAGGGAGATCTCCGAATATGGTACGAGGGGCTTGTGTAAGCACTTGGACTCCAGTAGTGTAGGTTTCGTGTGCTCAGGGATCCGGCTATGCAGATCCGTTTGGCTGAACTTGCCCTGAGCCTTAACAGAGCAAACAGTGCCAATGTTTCGATCGTCGAGAGAGATACGACTCCTGTTCTGCGTCGAACAGCCGCTGACCACATTCCAAAGCCCCAACGTGCTCAGAGGTGGGAGCCACCACGACTTTCGGGAGTGTAGGCCAGGAGTTCTGACTGGCTTGCATTCACCAGCTGTGTCCTTGGGCTGTGTTTGACTATGTTAGTCAGGGAGCTGCTAGACTGCGCCTTCACGTCAGGAAGTGTCTCGACGACCGAGGAGGATGCTGGGAGCGTAAACATCAGGCCCGGTGAGCCTGAAAGTTGAATAGTTGGAGTTGTTCGTGACCCTGCCAAAACTGCCCCAACCAACCAATGGTGTGATTTTTATTTCCTCACTGCCGATTGCTGGGAGCAGCCGTGAGTATGCCTGTACTGTGGTACTGTGGCTGCATTTCATCTTGCTCTTTCTTGCCAGTAGTCCGGCCAGCGGAGTGGCAGGCCATGGGGCCACGGTCCATGGGGGATGAGAAGGGATTGTGGGTGTTTGCATAGAAGGCACACTATGCCAATGATTGTTTCAAAGTTGAGAAAGGCTGGACGTCTCGCTTAGGGGCTCTTCGTCGCATAGTCGAGACAAGTTTGAATACTGCTCTATGACTGCTGCAAGGCAGGTGCGTCATCAGTGAGTCTTCTGTTCTTCCTACCTATGATGTCGACGCACGTCGAATCCACCGAACATGCCTATCCATGCTTGCCTGATGTAGTCATGGACTGGTTTAAAAGCTGGGAACATCCGGGAGCATGATTTGACGGAGACATACAGAGACCAACGGTAGAAGTCGCTTGCTGAAGCAACCTGGTGTGGGTGCAGCAGCCGTGTCCGATCAGGCAGTGTCACATCAGGCAGCAGCAACATGGTCCCTGTGAGCAATGTTATGGCACGGCTCCCGGGGACGGTTTCTGCGACCCCGGATATAAGCCGGTGCTGCACGTCTCGCTAAGTAGCAACAGGTGGGGAAAGTAATTTTGACTGCTGCGACCACTTATGTTGCATGCGAGTCCACTGCAGTCCCTCATGCGCATGGCAAGCTGTCGTGATTCTGGGTATTTGCCTGAGGTTGTCTGTCAGCCGAACGGCATGATGCAGCAGATGCAGCAGATGCCGCAAGTCATGTGACCCTCGTGGGAGTTCATACAGAAGTAAAGGTAGGCACAAAGGGTCTCATGAGCAGTTGTTCCGGATCTTCAGAATTGGCCGCAGGCTGCTTGGATGTTGGATAAGGGAGCCACATTTCGTTTCAGAAGCTGTTGTGCGCGAACATTGATAAAGCGCCTAGTAATGTGCACTCGGCCCTTCCTATATGCCGCAGCCGGTTTGTTCGGCGTCCTCGAAACATGTTCTTGGGCAAACAAGATGCGCTCCTAGGCCTAGAGCCGCTGCCAGACTCAAAAGACTCCACGCCGCGCAACACGCAAAGGGCTCCACGCAGCCATGAGCGATGCACTCCAAGCCGTGGCCGCATGGTGACGGCAGCGCGAGATCGCAGCCGCAGCCCGACCCAGCCCCAGGAGGTGGGCAGGAGCCACAAATTCGGAGGGTGTCACAGAATTGTCGATCGTGCAGAGATTTGCCATCTCGGCTAGTGAGGTTGTGGATCGGTTTCGGCTCGACAGAGATTGGTTTTGCTGCACCAAGACCGCGAGGAAATTCTAGCGAGGAACGAAAAAAGAACAGAAAGAAATACCCATTGGGACGGGTGTTGGTTACCCCCTTTGCAAGTGGCAATGCAGTGCAAGAGTGCCACGAGTGCCAAGAGTGCCAATGGACAGAAGCTCTTAGATCAAAGTCGCGTGCCAGGTTTAGGAGGGCCAATAAGTGCCATGAGTGGTTGGGCAGGCAGCTCCGCGCAGGATCCGTATAACTTGAGCCGGAGTTTCCGCGTGTCACAAGACTCCATGTGGGGAAACTGGAAATGCACAACACAATCGAAGCACTGCGAATCAGCGCAAGGAGAGAAGGGACTGAGTGTAGAAGCTTCCAAAAGGCCCGAAGAGTCCCATCCGAGAGTACTTCGATCCTTATCCAATTCCGTGCGGATGCGGTGGACAAGTTGCCCGATGATGTCCGATGCACGTGAAGCCTCAACATGGGCGGAGCGGAGTTTAATTCCTCCCTGCACCCTCTACTGTCTCATATGTTCATATGTTGAATGAAGGGGGCCTAACTCAAGTTCACCTTTGCACGCTTTGGCTCCCTGGCATCACGCACTGCGATCTGCTGCTGCAACCTCAGTGAACCAACCGGTCAGGAAGGTGTATTCGTATCCCTCTCACAGCAGCTTCAGCCGTGAAGGTCAGGGGGTCGTGGGCTTGCAATTGCTCCATAGCAAGTAACTCGATGAAGAAGAGCTGCCCCTTTCTCCAATCCCTCGAACAGAAACGAAAAAGAAAGACGAGATAAGATACACGTCCTTTCGGCTCTTTTCGGCGTATCCCAGTTTGTTCACTTGAGCCTGAAAGCCATGGCCAGACTTCGAGAGAGACGGAGTTGCAGGCGTGCAAGGCTTAAGAAAGACCAACAGCAAAGATCGAGCCATGCGTCTGCTTGTGTTCTTCGTTCTTGTCCATGTCAGACTTTGAACCACGTCAGAGCGTGCATTCTTAACCATTGAACACCCTAAATTGCAGCTTTTGCTTCGCATCGTCAGGCTTATAGGCTTTTGGTGTCGGTTTGTCACGATAGGCGGCAGAAGTCGCAGACTGAGAATGTCAGGGGTCGGGAATGTTCAGGTTTTTCAGTCTTTGGCTTACGCTGCTGCACAGGCAAGCTGGTGCCTAGACTCTGGGCTCCGGGACTGGCACCCGCGACAGGGCCCTGGGCGTGTGCAGTCGCCTGGCGGTAAGCTTGTAGCGATTTTGGATGCTTTGGGCGTGTAGAGGCCATGATTTTGGGTAACTCTTGCGCGTGATCAAAATTCAAAATCGTATCCTCAGTCGGCTACGATTGAACAGACGTCGTGCCGCTAGCGACCGCTAGTTTCTGCTGGAGAGGCAGAGCCGTAGATGATGCTGCAACATCTTGATGGGCCGCGGTAAAGTGCTATAGACTCGGCATATCCAAACTTCACGAGTCAGAAGAATGTGGGTTGCGTGAGCTAGACTCGACAACTTAAGCCAGTATGGCTCAACAATACCATGACAGAGGCTGTAGAAATCTTGCTGAAGGGGACTGCTTTGCTGCGTGAGACCTCGATGTGGATGACTGATCCCAAGGTACAGTGTCGTGCTGATCACGCCGGCAGAAGCGCGACCCGACAGCGGTTATGGTAGAGTGCGTGAACATAATCTGAGTTTTTCATTCAACAAGCAGTGTTGACGGTTGGATTCGTTGTTGCTTTTGACATACTGCATATGTTCAAAGTCCTGGCAGTCTCACGCACAATTCGGCCTCTCGGCTTGGTCCATCGTGGTGGAATCTAAAGCTCGCTAGCACATCGGGGAAGCGAATGAGAGAGGTCCTCGTGTGTGGTGGCCGGGTCGTTGTGGCGGTCCTGGCGGTGCTGGTCCTGGTCGTGGTTGTCGTGGCGGTCTCGTGGTGGTCGTTGTCGTCCTGTGTCTTGGGGTTTACATGGAGCGCGGTCTTTCACTGTTTAGGGTCTACGGCGGCAGAATGCAGTTGCTTTGTAGCATGGCTGGTTGGAGTAGGGTCCAAAGCTCTTATATGAATCACATCACACCTTCCTTTTCCTAGCCATTGCGGCCCAGGGAAAGCGGAGGTCCTTTGATTTCGAGCCATGGCTCTGTCTGGTGCAGTCCGGGCATCTCTTTCTGATGAGGCCCTGGCGATTATTGCGACTGCAGGAATTGAGACAGATGCTGATATGGCTTGCTTTTGGACTTCCGAAGAAGAGATTCTGGGATTATATCAGGGGGAGATTGCTGGGCCTTTGGTTCGCGCATGGCGCTTGGCCAATCAGTGTTTTGCCCGGGAGAATGCTCTTCAACCGCTGAATGTTCCCTTAAAGAAATCTGATCCTGTGCTTGTGGCGGCACGACCCAAGAAGCGATGCATGCCGCCTGCTGTGTTGCAGAGCAAGGCCTGCCGAGTTAAGGGTCCCCAGCCAGTGATGGTGGCACAGCCGCAGCATATTGAGTCTAAGAGGTCGCAGCACGTGCAGTTAATGTTGGACGTGGTCTTAGCCTCTGGTTCGGCGAACCTCAAGTTCTCGCCGGTTGAGCTGAAGGTACGTGCCGAGGTCCTGCCGCTATTTATGCGTCTGCTTGAGAAGGTTTCCGATTCCAAGCTTGCGGCATTGGTTTCTACGCTTAAGCGCTGGATTCGTTTTGCTGAGTGTCATCTTCCTGCTGACGTGGTCTATTGGATGCCTTCTGCGATGACATTGTCTGCCTTCTTGCAGCAGGTCGCACAGGGCGGTCCCACTGCTTCGGTTAATGTCTATCACAATATGAAGTGGTGGGTGGAGCATATGGGTTTGCCTTTGCCAGTCCAGGACCCGCTTGTTGCAATGTTCAAGCAGCCTCCGACGGGTTATGCAGCAAAGCAGCGTACTCCTATTGCGCTGGGGGTTTTCTTCCACTTGTGCGGAATGCTGCAGAGTACCACTGGAACTGTCAAAGCCTTTATTGCATGGGCTTTGCTGCTGTGTACGGCCTGCCTCAGGTTCGCGCACTTGCAACGCTCTGTCAATCTACGGTGCGAAAATTCCTTGTTGTCGGCCCTTTGCAAGAAAGGGAAGAGAAAGCAGCAAGGTGTGCAGCAACCCTTTGTGTGGTGCGTGCCGGCATGCCCTGCTCCTTCAGTCTGTATTGCACCTATACTGCTGCTAGAATATGGCGAGTTGTGTGTGGCCAAGTCCGATGTGGATTTTATTATCCCTGACCTGCAGCTACCGCGATCGGGGAGATTGGAGCCGGGTACACCCAAGCTTTTGCGCCGAATGAGTCGTGCTAAATTCTGTGAACTCATGAGAAGTTTGCTCCGTGCAATTGGAGTCCAGGACGAGGACGTGGATCAGCTTTCCAGCTATTCCTTTCGGCGTTTTATGCCGACCTTGGTTGACTGTCAGGACGCTTCCTATGAGGCTAGGCTGGCGGTTGGCAACTGGGTTGAGGCTGCAACTGACAAAGTTACAGCCACGAAGGCTGGATCTGCAATGCCGATTCGATATTCGGACGAGAAGGCTGTTACAGCGGGCATGACCAAGCTTCGCATGCTAGTTAGTCTTGATATTTCCAGGCAGCGCTGTTCAGCCGGGGACCTTACATGGGCCGAGGTTTCTCGCTTGAGGCCGTCTGCGTCGAAGGTTGAGAAAGCCCTTCAGTCAGCGGCTTGGCGCGCCGGTGACGACATGGTTCCCAAGCATGCTTCTGAGAGCGAGGACGAGGACGATGATTCTTCTTCTTCTAGCTCGGAGTCTTCCTCTAGCGATTCTGAGGTGTCTGCTGAGGCTACCCCGGTTGTGTCGTGGTTTGTTCAGCATGGCCGAGGTTCAGTGCACCTGACGCAGAGGCAAGTGCAAGGCCGTCTGGTGCCGTGGTGCCGTGACATTCCCTTTGATGTTGCTCATAGTGAGCGGGGATATGGCATCGATATTGGTGCCGAGCGTAGCCTTTGTAAGAAGTGTGTGGCCAGGGCTCCCCCGGCTATCATTGCACGCTTTACTTGATGGCCTTGTGGCTTCTTCAAGTGTGCTTGGTGCTGTGAAAAGGGCTGCCTTGTCCTTTAGGTGCGTGTCCTGCGCCCGGCGGCATCCGATAGTGCATATGCAGCCGACTCTTTGTGTGCTCACAGCAGTGGTTAGCTATGGGATCAAGCTCCTCCTCGTTCGAAGATCATGTCGACCGGGCCTTTCGGATTTTGCTCATTTTGCCTAGCCCTTGGTTGGCTGTGATCAGGATGGCCGTGAGGCGCTATGAGGACCAGCCTAACATGACCGAGCCAGTGGCTATGTTTTACTCGGCATTACAGCCGGCGAGTTCGGGATCTTCAGCTTGCCACGGGAGTCGTGCAGAGGAGGTGAGTCCGGCAGCTTGAGCTAGGGCGATTTTGCATCCGTGCAGCAGCTACTTGCTAAAAGTTTGTGTATGCCGGGTGCTCTGTCTCGAGGCTGAAGCTTTGCATCGTTGTGCTCCGTGTCTCGCTCTGCCCTTCAGCTGTTTTGCTTAGGCATAGGGGTGCCTTTGACTTTTCGTCGGCCTGGCACAATGGACGGATCCGCTTCATCAGAGCCTCCGGGGAAACCACCACATGTGATGCTGCTTCAGATTGCTGCGCTCCCGGAGCCAGTGCTTGCATCGGTATGTCAGGCTCTTCCGGTGGAAGTGCGGCAGCGTCTTGTCAGGGCCCTGAGTGTGGATGCTGCGAGTCAGCCGGATGCGGGGCCAAGCGGCCCTACCACCTATGAGGATGTTGCTCAAGGAGCGGTCTATGCGCCTCCAGGGCACGAGACCACATCGACGATGCCATCTTCTTGCCAGCCGCCTTCTGAGGCGGTTCCTCGCCCGCCGCGAGTGCGCAGACCCAGATGTAAAGTGCTTTGCTCCTCAGGTTGTGGTAGGTTTTGCGGTCGTAAGGATAAGCCTTGGAAGCCACGGCCACATGAGGGTCACGAGTGCAAATTCTGCCATAGAGCAGGGAGTGCTTCGTCCTGAAGAGGCCTTTTGCTCCGGGCTTTGGCCGGATGCCTGCTGGCCTGGAGAGTATAAAGACTGCGGGTTTTGTGCCTGTACGGTCGGCTCTGCTGCATGGCTTGTGCGACCTGTTGATCCCCTTGCAGCCATTGTGGCTGAATAGGGGTGTGGGAGCAGGCTGTGTTGTGATCGCCATGGATGCTTTGCGAGGGGTCCTGCAAGCAGCTAAGACTTCAGATGAGGTGAACAAGTATCTTGTGGATACGCTTCGCTTAGCTTCACTGGAGGACTTAGTCTGTGTGGTGTCGGCTGCCACTTATGAGACTGAGTTGAAGACTTTGGTCACTGATCAGATTGCGGCAGTCAAGGATGTTCCGATTGAGTTAGCCAGGCTTAGGGCAGCTTGGCGTAGAGCCAAGGCGGAACTTCTGAAGGTGGAGGACAAAGCCAGGCGTGGGACTACGCCATCTGAGGAGCTCGACGAAACTTTGGAATCCACCGTGCAGGAGGATCTTATGTCTCGCTTCGCCAGATGCTATGGCCACCAGGTCTCAGTGCATATGGCTCCTTCTGACACCGTTTTAGCGAGGGTATACCGCGAGCTCACACGCAATTTGCCTACAGTGATCCCGCTGACGAAAGTGCGTAGCCTTTTCCAATCGCACAAGCCATCGGCGGAGAGGAAGATTTCCCTTGGTGGCAATGTTACAGTGAAAGTCGACGAACAAGAGTCGGCACCGCTGCGCAGTGTGTTCGATTACTATCATGCGCTGAGGGTCCTTGGCAATGCTTATGCAATCGCAGGTTCCACTGAGGTTCCCAGCCAATCTGACCCGACCAAGGCCGTCAGGATGTGTCCTTTCCAGGTCCAGTTGGACTATGCCGATTTCGTCCTTCGCATGTCTATGCAGTGGGAAGCTCCGTTAGGATGGGTTAAGGTCAGGGATGAAGCCACCCGGGGCCGAATGGTAGAGCTCATGCGTCAGGGCTGGAGCCAAGGAGAGTCGTTGGCTAGAGCCATGTCCGAGCAGGAAAAGCGTGCAGCCTCCGAGGATGGCTCATCACCGGGTGCCCCTCCGAAGAAGATGCTCCGCACTGGTTCGCACTACCAAGGTAGAGAGATCTGCAAGCGCAAGAACGATCAGCGAGGGTGTTCCGACCCTTCTTGTGCTAAGGAGCATAGGTGTGACGTTTTGGTCAATGGTGAGGTGTGCGGCCCTACCAAGCACACTCGTCTGAATTGCCCGCATTTCCGAAAGTGACAGGGGGGCCGCCTGGCCATTTGCCAGGACCCGGGGCCAGGCGAGGCCACCCCGCTCGATGATCATGTGGCTACGCGAGTGATTTTGTCTGAGTGTGATGCACTGGCCGAGACTTCGTCTCCAGTCTCGACTGCTGTAGTGGATTCGGGGTCCCCTAGGCGGGTTGTTTCGGGTGTCGGCTCGGGTTCGGTTGCCTTGCTTAGGGGTTCGGTTCGGGTCCGCTTGTGGTCTGGCGCAAAAGCAATCGGCACAGGGCTACGAGAGGTTCGCATTAATGCGTCTGGCCCGGTTTCCCCAGCTGCTCAGGATTACGCGGCTGTGCCAGCTGCTTGGCGCACGGTCCGAGCTTGGGAGCCTGCCTCGGTTTTCGCCCCTAGGCCTGATTGGGCCTACAGACCGTGGCTGCGCGATATGGGCCTCAAGTATGTCGTCTACACTGGCGATTCGCCTTTGCCACAGATTCCCTGGAAGCTTCCATGGGAGGGTCCAATCCTTGTGATTTCGCTGTTTGATGGGATTGGGGCTTTGCTGGTTGCCCTGATGTGTATGGGGGCTGTCTTCTCGGCCATAGCTGTTGAGGCAGACTCTTCATTGACGCAAGCTGTGAGCATGTGTTTTGGAAATGTTTTCTTCCAGCATGACGCTGAGCACTTTATACCTCTGTGCTCCGTTCGTTGCTGCATGAAGGGGGCTACACAGCAATTTTGGTCGCAGGGGGATCGCCTTGCCAGGATGTTAGCCAGCTGAATCGAGATCGAGCCGGTCTGAGTAGCCGTCGTACTCAGCTCTACCAGTGCATTCCGCGGGTTGCCAAGTTGTGCCAGGAGCTTGTTGCCGAGCTCAGCTTGGATATTCCTGTGTTGCAGCTTCTTGAGAATGTGGCCAATACACCGCGATCCTTTCAGGCTGCCGTTTCGCGCGAAATGCATGGGCCACCGCTGCATGTTCATGCTGGTAGTTTTGGTTGGTGTCGTAGGTCTAGGTGCTTCTGGGGTTGTGTCGGGGATAGAGCACTTGCTGCTTTGTCTGAGCCTCGCTTGCCGCACGGGGTGTCATGGGCGAGCCGTGGTGACTCGAAGCATCTGGTGTGGGCCGGCAAGAAGCCGTTGCCTGCAAAAGTTCACTTCCAGGATGCCTTTGCTCCGACCTTTGTGCCTGCTGAAGTCATTGCCAGTGGAGTTGATGCTTCCCCTTTCCCAACCTTCACGCAAGAGTTTCCTCACCAGATTGATTCAGATGCACGGGCTAGCCAGGCAGCTGTGTCACGCTTCAAGCAGGATCAGGGCCGATTTCCGGTCCACACGTATGAAAGTCATGCGCTCCTGTGGAAAGGAGATCAGTGGCGTCAGCCAACAGCGAGTGAGAAAGCTGCCATGATGTGTATCCCGTCCTCGCTTCTATCAGCTCTTGCTTTCTGCTTGGAGGCGAAACCCGAGGTTGCTGAGCGTCGTAAGGCTTCTGCAGTGGGCAATTCATTTCATGTGCCGTCGATTATGCTGGCTCTGATTCTTTTGTTCCAGCTGGTGCCGCAAGCGTGTGCTATCCCTACTGTGCGCTATTGTGCTATGGAGGAGCGGCTACGCCATCAGTGCCAGGGCACAGTTTGGCAGCCGGGGCTTGTTGATTCATTCCCGGGATTGTTATCGGCTTCGGATGTTTCTTTGCGCTTGACTGAGCTGTTTGCGGATGTAGATGTGGAGTTGCCCGCTATGCCAATCACACCCGATGTTGAGCGGGCACTCAAGCGTCTGCAGGTTTACACTGTGGATCGGATCCTCAGAGACCTGCCGATCAGCGAGATGGGCCCTGAGTGGGCACAGCAGAAAACAGCCGGGGAGTCAGCAGCAGCTTTGGGGATCCAGAAGGGTGCCAAATTGCACCGTCATGCGATTGCCGCTTTGATTCCAGAGTCCATTGGCAAAAATACGCATGCGGTACTTAGTACATCCTTGCAATCTCCTTTTCAGACTTCGTCGGTGCTTGACGATGATGCTCGCTTCTCAGTGCGTGCCATGGTAGCCCTAGGCCCGTTCATTCGAACATGGAGACGTAAGCAGCTCAGAGCCTTGCTTTGTCTTGATAAAGCGCTGGATAAACTCAACAAGACCCTAGTCGCAGCGATGCACCCGTCGGTGTCTGCAGTTGCCTCCGATAAGAAGCCAGCCACTATGGCAGCCCTTGCAGTTATGCTTCGATGGCCGGATGTTACTTTAGGGCTTCGGTTCGTTCGGGGGTTTGGTCTTCTGGGGTTCATTGAATCTCCTTCTCTTTTTCGTGAGATTGTGCCAACCTTTCCCCCGGTGGTTGGGTTGCCGGCTCTCACGGGGGAGCATGCCCAGCTTATGTGTGCGAAGTTGCATGCGAATCTGCCCCAAGCTGAGTTCGCGCGCGAGGTCAAACAATTTGTCCTGCAGGAGATTAGTGAGGGTATCGCCGAAGGTCCATTCACTGAGGCTGAGCTTCATGCTCGTTTTGGCCGCTTTCAATGGGCCCCGATGCGGCGATTTATGCATCAGCAATCTTGCGGCAAGCTTAGGCCGATAGACGACGGCCGGAGCGGCGGCCATAATGCTTGTGCCGTAGCGACCGAAACAATCTTTACGAGTTCACCGGACTTCGTCAGTGCAGCACTAAAATTCTTCATTGAGCTCCTGGCGCGGACTGGTGATGACTCGCTGGATTGGGCTCAGCCTGTCTTTGGTTCTGAGGACATGTCTTCTGCTTACAGACAGCTGCCTAATATCCCATGCGAGGCTGCGGGATTGGTCCTGGCCTATTGGGATCCGGACCTTGACGAGGTTCGTTACGCGATCCTCAGGGCACACCCTTTTGGTTTAGCTAGTGCTGTGCTAAACTTTAATAGGGTTCCTTGCTTGGGTACAGCCTGCCTGCGCCGCATGACGGGTGCGTGTGTGACTCACTTCTTTGACGATTCCGGCATCTTGGATTTAACATCCGCGCATGGCTCAGCACAGGAATGCGTGAATGCCGTTTACCAGAGCATGGGAGTGAGGTTGGACATCCTGAAGCAGCAGCCTATGGCCACCCAGAGGCTCTTCCTCGGTGTGCTTTTGAATCTCTCCAGGGCTTTGTCGGATAGGACCATTTTGGTTGACATTAAGCCTGGTTTGCGCGAGACCATTTTCGCGGATGTCCAGAGAATGATAGTTGCAGGCTCTTGCACTCCCAGTGAAGCGTCTAAGTTGAGGGGACGGATGGTGTGGGCTGCTTCGGCCATGTTCGGCCGGTGTGGCCGGGGTGGCCAAGGACCGCTGTGTGACAGGCAGTACGATGTTGGCCGTTGCGAGCTGGATGAGCCGCTCCTTGCAGCATTACGCTACATCCAAGCCTTAGTTAAGGTAGTCCCTCCTAGGCTTGTCCCGCTGCACTCTGTTCCCGTTTCCCCGGTTGTGGTTTATACAGATGCCAGTTTTGAGCCGGCAGAGATGTCTAGTCCCGGATTGGGTTCCGTCATCTTTGTCAGGGATGAACCGACTCAAGGCCGCGCCTCTTGGGTCCCAGCACAGGTGCTTGACAGTTTTGCTGACAGGGCTACGCAGATCGCTCCTCTGGAAGCGATGGCTGTGGTTTTGGCGACGCTCCAGTTTCGCCGAAAGCTGGCAGGTGCGGAGATTATTTGGTTTATAGATAATCAAAGCGTGTGCGCTAGCCTTGTACGTGGAGCCAGCTCCGTTGACGATATGTCAACTCTGGTTGCAGTGACTCATCTTTTGTGGGCCACTCTTGGAGCTCGCGTCTGGATTGAGTGGGGGTTGAGCAGAGCTGGCTGTGTGGATGAGTGGACGCGGGCCCAGTCATGGCAGCTGGCTGAGACTCCATGCCTGCCTTGGCATGAATTCCGAGAGTTGTCGCTCCTTCAGTTGTCGGATGCCTTGTTACGTTGGGCAGATGATACATTGGGGTGAAATTAGCCTGCTGCCAGGGCCGCTTTGAAAGGCTTTCAGAGAAAGCTTCTTTTATGCCAACGGACATACGGCCCCCTCGACTCCGGAGCTTGCAGTGTCCGAGTGAAAATGAAGACGAGCGTGCACTGCAGCCTTGACCTTAGAGTGATTGCATTCATATGCAGTTGCTTTGTAGCATGGCTGGTTGGAGTAGGGTCCAAAGCTCTTATATGAATCACATCACACCTTCCTTTTCCTAGCCATTGCGGCTCAGGGAAAGCGGAGGTCCTTTGATTTCCCGCCCTGACCCTTCCCTCAAAGTGGTGACTGCGAGGGTTGGGGGGCTTATCAGCCCCAGTGGCTGCAGTGCCATTCTGGCGTTTCATTAGTGTTGGTGGGGTGAAATTAGCCTGCTGCCAGGGCCGCTTTGAAAGGCTTTCAGAGAAAGCTTCTTTTATGCCAACGGACATACGGCCCCCTCGACTCCGGAGCTTGCAGTGTCCGAGTGAAAATGAAGACGAGCGTGCACTGCAGCCTTGACCTTAGAGTGATTGCATTCATATGAGATCATGGAAGTTAAGATGCTGAAAAGGCTTGAAAGTCATCCGAAGACGGATCACAAATTGGTTTTCTCACAACAGCTGCCAATGTCCAGAGGTTTCAGGCAATAGGTCCGAACCCCAAGAAGCCCGGATCGCCTTGCGCCAAGGAATCCGAGGCCAGGGAAGGGGGATGTTCGAAGGAGTGGGTTTTCTAGTAGGCTGGAAGTTCAGCGACTGTGTCTGGGGGAGCAGTCGACACCGTGACAGGAGTGAGGAGGCGTCGGAGGGAGTTACATCAGTCGTGGGGTCGGGTCCTATGCACATGTTTGCTTTTCAGCGATGAGAAGATGTTGCGCCAGGGCACCGACCAGGGAGGCAAAGCTGCCGCTGGCAGTGTACTTCCCAGGACCGATTCAGGGCTTCTCTCTTTTTGGGCTCCAGCTTCTTGGCCCAGGACTCGGAGACAAGTCGACAGTGGTTCATGAACGAGCAGCGGACTGGGCGAAAGTTGCACCGGAGCACTTCTTGCTGGTGGGGACTTGGGTGCTGGATGTTGGGTTGAGGACTTGCGGCGGTGGCCAAGGCTAAGACAATTGTAGGCTGGAGACTTGGTAAGGCTCCCTTTTCAGATTGGGCTTGTAGTTGCTGCCTTTGTTTGCGTGGTCGAGGTGGCGACGATGCGAAGTAGGTGTGATGAGAGAAGCCATGTGACAGATTCCTCCGAGCCTGAAAGCTACCCTTTGCGAGTTGCCTGCAGGTGGCGCCAGAGCGACCCAAAAATCAGTGGTGGTTCCTGGACGTGCCCCGGACTTGAAGCTTGTGTGTTGTGATGCATGAAGTTGCAAGATCAGACATTCCTTTAAGAGGAAGGCAGTGAGCCTATGGCGAGGATGGCTCCGAACTGGGATGGATTCGTGGTAACCTGCGACCTGCCACTCGTCTTGTGAAAGATGGGGAGAAGCAAGCCGCTCCTACAGGCAGATTAACTGAAGCCTGCTTTCCAGGACACGGTGGATTTGTTTTGCGACTGGATCGCGGACTTGTCCGAGTATCCTGGAGTGGACCACGACCGAGTTGGGCTGTTCGGGTTTTCTGCCGGAGCCTATGCCGTGCCGATGCCTCAGCCAGACATTGTCCGAACATCTCCGAATCCGCAGAGTTCCAGTGCCAGGGCAGAGGTCCTCGCGCGTGGCCGCCTGTGCCTCTGCGGGGCCGGCCTCGGCGGAATCCACGGTCACGGGCAAGAGCCGGGGGCCCCGGCGAGGGACTTCTCCTGATGTCTGAGCTCTAGGAACACATTGCAGGTCTGAATGCGGGCATTGGGACATCAGAGCTATTTCTCTTTGCTATGTCTGTGGGTTTTGGGTGACAGGTCTTGTTCGCGGCTTGAAAGATTTGCTGACACGCAACGTTTTTGAGTGATGCACCCATGGATGTCCATCCAGGTCTGGATGGCGGCAGTTCTTTGCAGAGTCTGGGCGAGCCGTAAGACGAGTGACTGTTGCCTGTCGCAGGCATCTCGACAACCGGCCTGACGTTCCGGAACGTGAGGAGCGGGATACTGCGCTCAGTACATCGAAACTCTGCACAGGATTGCAGATTCCACTGCCGAGTCATCCAAACAGTTATCGCAAAAGATTCCTGAGTCGCAAGCAGATAAGAAGATGCATTGCTGCTGACTCCTCGCAGGCTCCCGAAGCCCGGCGGAAGTTCACGACCTTTCTGCAGCGTTTGGCCTGTCACGGCGGTGCTGCTGCCGCAGTACTGCTGGGAATTTGCTCTCCGGATTCTAAGCAAAACCGCAAATCTTTCAAACCTTCGTAAGATTTCTTGGTGTTGCATTCTTCATGTACTCGTACTGTTTTTCCAGGCAGGCCGGTTCAGAGGAGGCCATGCATCGAACAAATCAAGCCGTGACGTTATCCATGCAGGTCGTTCAATTGCTCTTTGGCTTGCCCTTTTGTCCCCTTTCTTTCATGCATTCTTTCTTTCTTTCTTTCCTTTCGGCTGTCACTGTCTCTCTCGCCTTGGATTTTTGTTTGCGAATTCTTTGCTTCCATTCAGTCCGTGTTCGAGGTTTTAGGCTTTCAGGCACGCCTCCTTGGCAGTGCAGGACCGGCCTGTCTTTCTCGCCGTGCCCGGATCTGTGTCCGCACGTACAATCTGTCTTACTGCTTGTCTGTGCCTCGTACTGTACTGTAAGGTAAGTTGTCTGACAATCTCTACTCTGCTTTGCTAACATTAGGGAAATCGCTGGAGGGTGCATCATCTCCGGAACAATTTCAGAAACAGTGTGAGCTTCGCGGAGAACACCAGTTTTCGCGGAAGCGATCGGAAACGCGACACATCCCACTTACTTGTGCCGTTGAGTGCAGCCAATCAAGGTTAATAGAACCGAAGTTTAGGATGCATGCTTGAGAAAAGACACGTGCCTTTCTCTCAGCGTCAGGACACTCGACATTGCAGGGATAAGTCATTGTGCCTGGGCAATCTTGCAATGTCCCTTCGCTGCACTGCCACCATCAGACTTCTAAGTCCGGCTGAAAACGTAGCCTGGACAGGTGTTCGGCACACTCAGCACCTTTTTATCAAGCTTTGTCTGTTCATGCATTTTCTTCTGGACCTCGCTCTAATCCCCTCGATACACTCCATCCTCGCAACAACTCTGTCTCTATCATCTGTTGTCTTGTCTATCTCTCTGTCCGCCTACATCTCCCTCTCTCTGCTCATTCTTTCGGTGCGTCTCTCCGCTTGCGTCTCGCAAGGTGCCCGATGGATCGGTGCAGTCCACGGGAAGACGGACCAGGAGAAGTTGAGGTCGTGGCGGAGTCTTTCGACATCGTCGCATTCGTCGCCATCTTGTCGGGCCTTAGATTGCCATAGAATTTCAGGCCTCTTCGGCCGACCGAGACACGAAGATCCTCTGGATAACGGCAGGAGTCCGATCCCCGGGATGCCCAGCAGATCTTGGAGGCGCTGAGCCGGCGCCAGGGAGTGCCTGGGCTGCCCCTAACGATCCGGCTGCGAGCCTTTTGCTGTTCGGGCCCGACGCTAAGGATCTTGGGCTGCCGCAGGCCAGGCCCCTGGCCGCGCGGGGTTAACTTGGAGGTTTAGCAAAGTCAGTGTCTACAGGACACAAGAGCCTCACAAGGGCTGTGCGGAGAATCCAAATTAGTCGAAGGTCAGCGTCCGCTGGCTCGAGGCAGAGGAGCAGGACTTCAGGCCTCATCTTCGCCATGCTTTGCCCAAGCCTGTGATGACTTCTGAACTTATGCTGGAACCGAATTCGGCCGCTCTGCAGTGTGTTCCGGCTGCATCGTTCCGTGATTCGCAGGCCCACCAAGAAGAGAAACCGATCTCACCACAGCTACTTCGATGCCTCCTTCGTGCATGCAGGACACATGCGGTATGGGGCATCTAGACTGCGACCAACAAGGCATTGCTGCACCCTGCTGCAGGCTTTTTCAGCAACCTATTCAGCACGGGAGTCCGTGCAGAGTGCTGGTGGCCAAAGATGCAGCCGGCCGCCGGACAGGAGGCCGTCTTGCACAAAATGCCCCAAAACCAACACAATTCCTGCCGTGCCATCAGTGCTTGAGGCAGAACTCCATCTGCCACTTGGATTGGATTCGCGAGTTGTCTTAAAGCTCCGTGTTTACACCTCTACTTCTCGGTTTGACGTCGCTTCCAGGGTTAGTTCGTGCAGTTTTGGTGTCTTGCATTTTGTGTCGATTTCTCGTACTGGGGATTCCTTGGCATCAATCAATATCGCTTTCAGAGTTGAGGCGAGAGACGGCATTAGCTGACAGGTGTATGCGCAATCAATCAAGCCTATGTCTGTAAACATACGTATATAATAAGCACACACATGCTTTTACCCATGCGCACGTTCATATTCGGTTTTCCCTCCTCGCGAACCCTACCTGCCTTTGTCAGGCAGCATATCAACCGTATCATCTTTCTGGGTCCTTTTACCTCTGAAAACGGAACAGACAAAGTTCTTGTGTTCGACTGTGTTGGACTGAGTGAATACAAGACCCGTCTGCTATCTCCTTGTTCAAAATCACAGAAGAGCATGCCAATGTCCCCGTGAGATGTGGACCTAGTTGCACTTCGTTGTCAGTTCAGCAGGTAACTACTTGTAAGGGCCCCTTCACTCTGCTAGGACGTAACATCCCAATGTGGCCTTGTTCAGGCCGGGGGACGGGGGATGCAGGTTTCTGTATGCCGGATCGCTACCGATGTTTCGGATCTCCTGTAGCCTCTAAGACGAGAAATCACTCCTAGATTTCTTAACCAGAATTACACAGGCCTCTCTAGTTTCTAAGTTGTAGAACAGGGGAAGCTCCAAATAGGAAGCCAGCAGAATACTTCTCCCTGCGACATTTAAGGATTATCATTGTTCAGTTCAACAGATCAGGCGTAAGGCTCACAGAGACTTCACGCTTTCCGTTGCTTTCTCAACCGTCCTGTGCTCCTCCATACATACTGTGCCAACTTCTATAATCGTTATTCGTTGGCTTACCAGTTGTAGGCGCGAGCATGCGAAGTCTACAGTTACAGCGCCTGCAGCTTCTGCGGGTTGCTCATGTTGTTTTTATGGACTTGTCACCTATCGCTGAAGCATGGTTCTACCGCACCAGCGACCACCTCGCATCGTGCTCGCAGTGTCCGTGGCTTTGTGAGGGATTGCCTTGCTTTCCTGCAACATGAGGAAAGGCAATGGAAAGATGTACTTCCAGTGGGATGCCGGAAGCAACGGCAAGAAGAAATGGCGCTACTATGATCAAGAAGTGCATTCCTCAGATGCGGGCGAAATGCTGGTCGTTACCAGTTGTAGATTTCATTTGTCGCCGTCCTCGTCCCTCCAGGCGGCTGTGCGGACCGTGATCTTCACGTGATAGCCTGATGCTCAAGCCCCCATGATGCGAGGAGATGCAAAGTGATGCACAAACCTTGCGGGTTGGTCTTGCGATGCACAGCTGCCCGTTGAACCCCTACACATGATGCAGGGGGGATTGTCCTCGGTCGGGAGGGAGCTATCAGGGCAGGGTTGCTCAAAGCGGAAGCATGGCAGCGCAAGACTGGCACAGCTTGAGAATGTCACAGGCGAACAGCCTCTTGGTGAAGTCCTACGCGGAATACCAGCGTTCAGCAGGCTTCGTGAATGTTTGAGCCGTTGGATGAAGAGAGAAAGATTGTTGATTGCTGAAGGTTGGGTGTTGTCCCGTCAAGCAGTCCAGAAAGGTCATGCACGACCTGTCTTCCTATTGCAGGCGGGCCGTCGCAACACATAGCTGTGGCGGGTCGGAGCTATGTGGTGGACTTCGTGCAGATGGTGCGGCGCTTGTGCTATAAAGTCAGCCACTTGCCGATCATGTTTTAATCTAGCTTCCGGACTTCCGAACAGTGATCCTATCCACCGACATGAACAGCGTAGCTTCATGGAGACTTTCCCAGAAGCATCGAGCCGTTCGATGCCGTGTGCCTGCATGCAGTCTCGTCGCGGAGGTTTGTATGCTCCCGCTGCGTTTTGCTCTGGCACATGCGTTCCGCGGTCCAAACTCAGGGAGCTCTCGCGACTGTTTTCTTCACGAAATCGGTTCCCTTGTGCGTCATGAAGTGGCGTGGCTCGGCTGGGGTCTGGTCCCTGAGACATCTCTTGTTCACGTTCTCGGTTCTTGCAGCTGACTTGGTACCGTCTTCTTGGAGCTGCCTTGTTGAACTGCCTTTTTTGCTTTCTTGTCAGTCTTTCTGGGTTCGATGTTCTGAAAGCGGCGGTTCCTTGTGGATGAATCCATCATACCCGAGATGTGCGCATGACGTTGCAACATCTTCATTCCCTCAACATCCGATGTTCGCTGACAGGAGCAGATCTCGTTTTTCAACGAGATTCTCCGCTGCACTTCCGGGCATTCAAAAACGCAGCTGTGCATTTGCTTTATCACACTTTCGCTGGAGTTGACAGTTTCGGTTTGTCACTCTTAGGCGTCGAAGTGTGCGATGCTTCAACTGGACCTGAGCGCAAAGACGACAGGGAAGACACAAGGGAACGAGTGTGCTGCTTTGGTTGTTGAGTTGAAGAGCATGCAGCGATGAAGAGCAGCGCGAGGCAGTTGAAAAGTCTTGGCTCAAACGCGAGTCTCGCCGGAAGCGGCTGGAAGCGAGGCATGGCCGAGGCCTTGTGCTGCGGTGCTTGGGCTGTGAAGGCTCCCGGTCCCTCCGAAGTGCGCTCGTGCCAGGTGGAGGAGTATGAGCGCGGCCACGGCGCTGGGCCGCAGGGCACCCGAGAAGTAAATTTCTGCACCCGGGCGGCGCGCAAGTGCGGTCCGTGTTGGAGGCGTCAGGCGCTTTTTTCTGACAGACCCCGTTGGGAGGGCCTCTGAGCGAGGGGCGCGTGTTTGCTGAGGCAGCATCCGCTTCAATCCTGTGGTCTCCTTGCTTGCTGCCGGGGTCCTCTGGGGCTTCGTGCTCTATGCGGTTTTGGACGACGAGGCCGTGACGGTCTTCGGTGAGTGGCAGTCCTGGGTCACGAGCACATTCACCTGGCTCTACATCGTCTCCCAGGCCCTGCCATGCCCTGCCCATCCCAGCGCCCTGTCAGCACCCTAACCCACCTCAGGACTACTGGCTCTTCTACCTCTTCCCGTTGTGCTACTACTACGGTGATATGAAGCTGGGCCAGGCCATGTAAAGGTGCTTGAAGGCGTGAGTTCTGAGTACACGCATGGCCGCGTGCAGGACGACGAGGAGCCCGAGTACGGCGACCTGACCTACTTGGCCATGGTCTGGTGTGCGGGCGTGGCCATCGGCTTGATCTTCTACGGCGTTTCAGAGCCCCTGACCCACTCCGTGGATGCAAGCAACAAGTACAACAACAACGGGTACTTCAACGAGAACGAGATGGCCATCAACGGCCTGCACATCACTCTGTTTCACTGGGGTTTCCTCGCTTGGATCGTCTATGCCATCACTGCGCTGACCATGGGCTTCTTGTCCTACCGAAAGGGGCTTCCGCTGTGCTTCCGCAGCACATTGGCCCCTCTCTTCGGCAAGGCAACCTGGGGTTGGATGGGGGACCTGCTGGATGTCCTGACCATCGTCACCATCGTCGCCGGGCTCTGCACATCGCTGGGCCTGGGCGCCCGCCAGATCGTCGGCGGCCTGCAGCGCCTCGAGTGGCTCGACGGCACCCTGACCGAGGACCGCTCAAGAGGGCCGAGAGGGTGCCGTTCGCTGTCGCCCTGCCTGCGTCTACGGCTATGGTGTTTGCTGATTGCGTGTTCTTGCGTGCGGGGTTCGGGGCAGATGTGCGTTCGCCTGCACTCGCAAGGATGAGCTGACCAACACGGCCGCGGTGGTGATCGCCATCATCACGCTCTGCGCCACACTCTCTGTCGTGGCAGGCTTGGAGTTCGGCATCAAGACGGTCTCCTATGCCGCCTTCATGTGCGGCAACGTGCTGATGATGGTCGTGTTCGCTTTGGATGAGCCCTGGTACATCCTCAACGTGATCGTCCAGACCGTCGGATACCACCTGCGCCTGGGTGTTGCTTGGGAAGCGCTGTTCATCTTTGTCGTAGCATCAACCTCAGGGGATATCGAAAGCAATGCTTGTTGTGTTGGGTCAGAGTGGCTTGTAGGAATCACTTCATCGAGATCGCCTTCGATACCGATGCCTTCGCCCAGATGGATTTGGGAAATGGGCGACCCAACGATGGCAAAGGCGCCAACCCTTCCTGGATGGACTGGTGGACTATCTTCTACTGGGGCTGGTGGATTGCTTGGGCCCCTTTCGTCGGCACTTTCATGGCGCGCATCTCTCGCGGACGCACCATCAAGCAGGTGGTCATGTACACCCTCACACTGCCCTTCATGTACGCTGTGCTGTGGTTCTGCATCTTCGGTGCAGCCGGCATCCGCATGAACCGCCGTGCCATCTGGTTGGAGAACATCGGCACCACGGAGTTCGGCAACGCGGACCACTTCCTGCACACCGACACGAACTTCCGGCCCAGTGGGGCAGGCAAGTGCTTCGATGTGCCGGCCAGCATCCCCGGCGAGGCCTTTGCCGCTTACGCCGTGAACATCAACGTGAGTCCTGTGTGCAAGTACTCCGGCGGAGATTCCTCTGGATACTGGTTTGACCTCATGGGCCAGTATTACGGCATGGGCCAGGCCCTCACCTTCGTGTCCATCGTCACCACGATCCTGTATTTCGTGACTTCGAGCGACAGTGGCTCCCTGGTGGTGGACTTGATTGCAGCCAATGGCCGCGAAGCGCATGTGGTGCAGCGTGTCTTCTGGGCCTTCACAGAGGGCGCGGTGGCTATTGCCTGTTTGTTGTCTGGTGGGTTCAGCTCACTGACTGCGCTGCAGGCCGTCTCCATTGTCATGGGCCTTCCATTCACCGTTGTCATGATGATGATGTGCACCTCCTTGTGGCGTGCACTGAAAATCGAGGCCGGCGAGATCGCCCCGAGAGGCCAGAGAACAGACTGGAAGATGCCGCTGTATGGCGGCATCTTCGATGCCCCCGAATTCTTGCTGAGCTTCGGAAGGTCCAAACTGCCCTCCGCGAACACCTGTGGGACCTTCGTCTTGGGCGCGCTGGCACCGCCCCTGGTTTTCTATCGATCGATGAGGGCCATGTCCAAGTACGAGAAGGGCGAAGGAACCAGCGCATTCCTGCATGGCATGCTCACCGCCACGCTCGGCGTCTTCTTCATGGCGTTCGTGATCCTGCACATTGTCTCGTGGGTGTTCCAGGCGGACGCTGCAGGCGCAAAGGAGGGCAAGGCGATGTTCTGCTTCGCTTGGATTGCATACCTCACCTTTGCCTCCATCCTGTCTCTGGGTCGTCACCAGATGCGGAGACTCTACGGCATCGAGGGTTCCGGCATCGAGGACATCTGCGCAGCTGTCTTCGTGTACCCACAAACGCCGGCCAGCTCAGCTGAAGCTTCGGAGCGTGGCGTGCGTGCAGTGTGCGCAGTTTGTGAAAGTGCCGCGAGCTTTCCTTGACTACTGCGCATGCCGGCTCAGGCTGTGCCAGATGATGGAGCAAGTCAGCGAAGTGCCGGTTCCGAAACAGGTGTACAAGAAGGCTCAGGCGGGACGGTGACAATTTGTAGGTTGATAGGAATCAGGACGTGTCGAAGACCCGAATCTTGCGTTTCGTGTGTGGGGTGTGCCCCATGTCAGGATGCCAAGACCGCGGAGGTCGACATTTGAAAACTCTTGAATGAAGCGGACAGCATGGCCTTTATGTGATGCTGTCCACGCACTAACCGTAAGCTTTTAAGCGATTTTGGCCAGCTGGCATTTTGTGCCTGCTGGGTATTCGGTGCTCTGCCGAGCACCAAGTCGTCTGTGGGATGGGGATGACACAGCTGGGACAAACTGCCCGCTGTGTGCTACACATCCTAACCCTACAGGTTGGCTATGCGGCCAAGATCGGGCAGGGCATGCAAAGCAGCCGAGCCTGGTAGCCCTGTTTCTGCTGCATTTGTGAAGGTCATGCAGTGACAGGGCCTCGCAGATACGGTCTCTCACATCTCACGTGGCCGTCTTTTATGAGCCAGGTATGTTGACATCTGACTTGAGATGTGCGAGTACCCCGAACTCCCTTGCCCATTTCCATCAGACCTCCTCCTGCTTCTATTGCAGATCAAGAGGATGTGCATTCCGCTGGCCACTTTTGCATGGACTTTGATTTGACAGGGTTTGAAACCTTGGTTTGTAGGCTCAATCTTTTCGTCTGCAACAGTCCGACATGGGCGTAAGATTTTTCAGCGCTTCACGACTAGTGTGACTAGTGTAACTGTACCGGGCATGTGTCACTGGAGCTTTGTTCAGTCGAATAGAAGTTCTGCATGGGGGCAACGCTGAATGGAGCATTCTTGCTGAGACTTTGTATTTGAGAGAGCATGGGCAGCCGGTCACGGAAGCAGAAGGAGTCTGTGTTTGCTTCTCGCCTTAGCCCATGCTTTGTTGTCAGAGCATGGATGGAGGCGCAATACCGAGCAGGATCATCGCTGCGTTGAGACATTGAGACTCTGAGAGGACCCTGAGTGTGTGGTTCGGACAAAACACAGGCGTGCGCCGTCATGTACGACTTGCAGCCGGTACTTGCATAGTTTTTGATTTGTCTTCTGCGAAAGTGGTTTGGCTACGACAGACAAAAACGGGTAGGAAAGCAATGGGCGAGGGCAACAACTTGTCTGGCGAGGCTCACAAGGGGTCTCTTCAAATCATCTCTGTACCATGTCCACGCAATGTACATGCAGTTCCACAGACAACAGCAGTCGCACTGGAGTGGATACCACGACGGTTCGTTTGGAGGGAGTGGCATCTGGAGCCGGCTCTAGTAGTAAGATTCGAAAGTCTGCCAGAAGCCCAGCAGTGAGGTGGAGGAGTATGAGCGCGGCCACGGCGCTGGGCCGCAGGGCACCCGAGAAGTAAATTTCTGCACCCGGGCGGCGCGCAAGTGCGGTCCGTGTTGGAGGCGTCAGGCGCTTTTTTCTGACAGACCCTGTTGGGAGGGCCTCTGAGCGAGGGGCGCGTGTTTGCTGAGGCAGCATCCGCTTCAATCCTGTGGTCTCCTTGCTTGCTGCCGGGGTCCTCTGGGGCTTCGTGCTCTATGCGGTTTTGGACGACGAGGCCGTGACGGTCTTCGGTGAGTGGCAGTCCTGGGTCACGAGCACATTCACCTGGCTCTACATCGTCTCCCAGGCCCTGCCATGCCCTGCCCATCCCAGCGCCCTGTCAGCACCCTAACCCACCTCAGGACTACTGGCTCTTCTACCTCTTCCCGTTGTGCTACTACTACGGTGATATGAAGCTGGGCCAGGCCATGTAAAGGTGCTTGAAGGCGTGAGTTCTGAGTACACGCATGGCCGCGTGCAGGACGACGAGGAGCCCGAGTACGGCGACCTGACCTACTTGGCCATGGTCTGGTGTGCGGGCGTGGCCATCGGCTTGATCTTCTACGGCGTTTCAGAGCCCCTGACCCACTCCGTG